TACATGGGAAATGAAGTGAAGTCGTGTGCTGATAAGAAAGTTCATTAACGATCAAAATCAAAACATTTTTCATCTTCCTTATGAAAGAACCGGTTTCATTTACAGTTGTTGTCATCATCTCACTTGAACACAATATTCAAGTATTCATTTATTATTGCTGCTGTTATGGTCATAACTTTTTTCAATTCATTTAACTGAAATTATGCATATTTGTATACATCATATATTATGTATGCGAGCAGTTTTATCCCTAAATATTTTCGTATTTTTCTTGTATTGCGCTTGATTGATTGAAACTGGTGTGTCGTGGAGATCGGGGAATTTCGGGGACCCCGTCTCCGATCCCTCGTCACTGACTTTTCAAGCCGATCGCGTTTTCGGGGTCCCTGACCTTCACGGAATTCTTGAGGATCCCCATTCCCGAAAATTTTCAGGGATTTCTCTGAATATCGATACCATCAAATGAAAGCATCAAAAACGTGCATTCGAAGCGATTTCCTCAGCAGTGTTCGTATCATTTTATGCGCTATTGGGGATCCAAATGGGAACTTCGCGAATTTTTCAGTATAACTGTTCGGGATGCTATGGGTAATTTTTATAAGTTTGTTGCTGGTGTATGCTACGATTGGCAGGATGTCTGCGCAGCAGTGGCTCAACTGATAAAAAAGGAAGGTTTAATCAGGGGCAGCGCAGCGTGGAAGTATTTTCGCTTGTCAGAGGAAACAGGAAACGGTGTTAAGTGTATTTGCTTAAAACGTAGAAATTTAGTGCTTTTCCATCAGAAAATCCTGTCTTCAAGATCCTGCTCGTTGTGATTCAAAAGTTTCATTCTCAGGGAAAATTTGGTGAGATTGAATTTTTTCCTCGGAATTCCTCGTCCCCGACTTTTCTGGAGCCGGCTGCATTTTCGGGGTCCATGACAGCGAAAGTTCGTCCCCGCAACACACTAATTGAGACTGCATATACAACCATTCGCTAAAATACATTTTCCTCATAAAATTTCTTGTTCGTGCACTCGAATCAGTATGTTTTTTTTTCTGTTGAACTCTAAACTTTCACCTTCCACTTCTTATGATAGTTCATTTTTTGTCAAGTTTTCAGTAAGCTAATATGGCTGAATATTCTATATTCGATGGAAATAAACCTATTAGGAATTGCGCCTATCTGCTTTAAACCAATACTTCAAGTTATTGTCTTCTCAGATGTAGTTGCTTCTCGTTGTCTCGTTAAGAGTATTCAAAATATTTTATTATTGAAAAAATTAGTTTTTTTTTCAATCACTATTGGTCATACGAACGATGTTAAGAGAAGAGATAATATTGATAATGAGAATGAGGATAATATTGCTAACGACTACAACCGTATTCATCAATTCAATATTTATCGTTTTGTTTCAAAATATTGCTCGTTATGATCAGTCTTTGCTGAAGCTCGACTATCCCCACAAAATTTTCGCGCTGTTGATAAATCAATGTTTTGTTTGTTACTGAAGAGTTACACATGTGTACTTACGCTTCATTTGTTCGTCTTGTATTGCTCACTCGTCTTCGTTGAATCGTCCTCATTAATTTAATATCTCATTTCTTCTGTTTCCCGCATACGCCATAACCCTTTTATCATACATATTCACTTCATGAAACTATCTATAATTAGCAAATAAGCATGCATTCCTCCATAAATAAATGGATATTGCATAGTATTTTTTTAAAAGCTTCACAAAATCAAACGTTTATTATATTCTTTTCATTTCTAGATTCTGATAGCGAGAATATGTACTCAACTAGAATTTCGAACGATCTGTGCCATCAAACCTCATGAAAAATTTTCATTTTCTTTCAAATTTATTTAATTAGCAATTTTAACTCATTACGGCTTTATGTCTTTATGTCTGTCATTATTATAATATTGCGGTTATTGCAATAAACATGATTGAATGTAAATATATTGAAAAATATGAGTCTTCACAGTTGAGTGATTGTTGTTTTTATTATAAAAGTTCATTAAATTTACTTCAAAAAGATATATCATGTTTATAATTTTCATCTGTGAATTAGCATTGTAATTTTCTTTTCTTGAGACGAACCAGAAAAAGAGGAAATTTTGAACGATGATTTTGTTTCATCCGTCCTTCAAAATAAGCACGAGACAGACGACAATTATTCGATTGATTATTCATTGATGTTGCTGGTGGTGTTCATATTCATCATATATTCTTCTCCTTTATGATGATACGTATGATTTTTATTCAACACTGATTTTTTGAAACATTCATTTCATAACATTCGTCCTTTTCTCTCGAACACTGCTTTTCCTGTTGTTCTTCACTGTCAAACAACTCTCTTGAATCAATTAAAATTGTTGAAAGTATTAGTTTATATCCTGTAGGCATACACAAACCTAAATATTCATCTCTGCACATGCTTATTTGTTTCATCTTCCTTTCATATCTCATCTTACCATTTTTTACGCATCTGAATTTCAGCTAATTCTTTGCATAAACAACTAGGGTTTGCAAAATCCCGACGATTTTTCAATCCCGGGATCGGGATTTAATTGCGGGATCGATTTTTGATCCTGGGATAATCCTGGAATCGAGCAATTATTGAAATATCGATGCGGGACATGTTTAAACACATTTTTTCGAACCAATATGTTCATTATTAATCAGAAAGGAGCTAA